AACGATCGTTTTGGCGTGATTGGTTACGTACTTGCGTTCGGAACGGAAGGTACCCAGAACGAACCTTCCCTCCTTCACCACTATTCCAGAACATAAAACACACACCGCTTTGTCGCCTTTACTAATAATTCCATGTTCTTCGATCCACCAAATTTGAAATTATCTGTTACACACTTACTATCTTGCACTTTTTCTTCTTTTGCTTCACTAACCATGTTAAATAACAGTTAAAAATCGTAAACATAACGCAGATAAACTTTAAAGTACAGTTGTATCAATGAAATTGACTATGCTGTACGTAGACAAACTTTACTTCATAAGCAGTTGTAATTTACCACGCATCTAAAGCAAGACAATAACAAACGAGTGTACTCCCCGTGACCGATCACTCGCATTTGTTGGTAATACTTCATAGTAAACTTTGAAATAAAATGCAAACCATTTTGATCACTGGTGTGCCTAAAATACTGCGTCGCGTGCCACTGGTTCGACATCCTTGGCTTAGGGTGTAAAAATAAATAAATCCATCCTAGATGCCAGATACGAACATGATAGCTCAGTGGCACTGGCGTAGCTAGCTCTGAGGGGGCCTTGTATCAAAATTCCTTCGGGGTCTTTTTTTAGATATGGGTGCCCTGTTAGTGGGACTGTAGTTACACATGTTGGCCCCTGTGGCTTGGTGGTCCCGTATCATTGATACGCCGGTAGCTACGCCCCTGCTCAGTTTTCATGGTCACGTTCTCGAGACTGGTGGGTCGTAAATTCGAGTCTTGGGGCCACTGAAGACCCACCGTGTAGAGGGGCTGATGCACGATAAATCTATCGAAGCTCAAAGTCCTTCCGTTGATTGGTTGCTTGGAGAGAATAATGCTAGCTCAGGTATCATCTCCGTTACTTGACCAAAGTTCAAAAATATGAGGTCCATCCCCAAAAAACTTTGTGTTGCTTTAGAGCAGTGGTCGACTAACTTTTTCGACTCAATGAACCGTAAGAACTATAAGGTGTTTTGAGAGGGCAACCCCATTTTTCATTCTTAGAACATATCTTAAAATAATATTATAAGTAAATCAACATGTTACGCTACTTCAAGTAAAGGCAATTTAAGAAAGTTACAGTATTTTTTATTCAAAATTTTTAACATGATATAATTTACTCATTAATAGATTGAATTCGTACTCCATGTATCACTTACCGTTGCATGATGCTTAATAACTTGCCTTTTTGCCTTTTTTTTTATTCCTAAATCTCTCCCTATATATATTTATTTATTTATATATCTTCAAATTTTCAATCGTTAATAAAATACTTTCTATTCATCCATTCAAGTTCAAATACATTTTTTAAAACTTGTAGTATATGATACTTGACGTTACAGTTTTTTCAAATATTAATTAAATTAAAAAAAGGAATCAAAAGTAACAAACAAAAATAATAGTCCAACAGCATAATATGAAAAGGAAAATCGTACGTTGTGTTCCTGTAGCGCAATGGATAGCGCGTTGGATTTTTAATCCAAATGTTGTGGGTACAAATTCCATCTGGGATGGCTTAATTTCTGAGAATGTGATTTCTTTTTTACTATTCTATTTTATTAGAATAATCAAATTTAATGATGAATGAATAAATGGTAACAAAAAAAAAAAAAAAAAAAATAGTCCAACATCCTATAGAGAAAGGAAAATGGAAAATCGCTTTTCATTTTGCCACTTAACATTGTGATTCTGTCCTATGTATATACATATTTATATTAATTGTAATTATTTCATAAAAAGTAACTAAAATAAAATTTTCCCCTGTTGACCTAAGTAGGAATTGACTTAAAAAAAATTCTATATTACTTGTTCCTTTTATTTCAGGTTTTTTTTCATATTTATAGCAAAACAATATAATAATTTATTCCAACTCATAAAAACTTTAAAATCATTAAACGCCAGAAAAATATTTTTTTATAAATGAGTAAAAACCATACATAAATAACCTAACCTTTTTTTTAAAAATTTTTTTAATTCTTTTCAAAATTTACTCTTAAAAAAACTGGTTTATGTAATACATATACATAATAAAATTTTTGAGACAATGATTCAAAAAATAAATCTTAAGTCGCCGAAAAATATATCCCATTTTGCAGAACCTATAAATCTTGTAGGACCTATAACTTATCAATAGATTTCTTAAATAAAGGTTTAAGCATGCGCAGCTAGGTATGAAAAGTGAAGTAAAACCTGGATTACTGCGCATGATCATTATCTACAGCTGCTGAAACCTGATTTATTTATATCTTGTTCTAAATTTCTGCTTTTTATGGCTATAGAAATGTCCCATATCATGTGCGAAACTTTTTTTTCTCCTTTTTTTCGTATTTCATTTTAAAACATCTGCCTATTTTTATGAGTGATAAATTTCATTCTCGCGAGCATATCATGTACTTCTTCCCAAATATTTTCTTCGGCCATATCTGAACATGCATATTATCTGTAGATGTTTTTT